AAAATGTATCTATAATCAAATCAGCATGGCATTAGGCCTTCCAAAGGGTTATGGATAGTAGAATACGGCAAATATTGGCAAATTATTTTCCCTATTTGGCTAAATTTTTCTGTTTTAACTCTCGTTGCTTTGTATTCCGCGAGCCTTCCGTTGTCTTCGGGAAGCGGCTGGAAAGAGTAAAACTTAGCCAAATAGACAGACGATATGCCAGAGAACTTTCGTCCTAGCGCGGACCAACTCCCCTGGCATATCATATTTAGCCAATTTCTACTGGTAGAAGCCTGGTAGAGGCTACAATTCTGTGACAACCAACCTGTTCTTCCTCTGAACTCCTCAATGATTGTTCAACGGACGTCATGTCGCCAATGGACAAGTCGTTCCCGCCATTTCCTTCCGTTTGATTGACAGAATCGTCAAGCGAGACGAGGACGTTTTCGTTCTGGTCAGACCCCTCCTTTTCCCGCGCGGTGCCTGACGGGACGGTTGTTGTCTCTTCCTTGCTTTGGTCTGTCGTTTGGAGAGAAAGTTTGGTGGATAACTCTGTCACCTGGTCGCGAAGGTTTTCTTTCTCGTGACGAGACTCGTCGAGAAGAACCCCTTTTGACAACACGGAACGAAGCATGCCATGAAGCCAACAAAAATCATTAAAAAATATACATTCTCAAACAGCGAATTTGATTAGCTTTTCTGAATATCCTGATATATTGATAGTTCTATTTGCAAACTCAACATGAGAGAATGTATAGGGTATACAGACAGTACAATGGCGACAAAGTGGAACAAGTGACTATTCTAAACTTTACTGAATTACTGAAAACTAAATACAATCAAACATTTGGAAGTTATGGTGAGTTTTTTGGCCTTTTAAATAACTCTTTTCTTTCCTGGTCAAGGTAAAGGGGCAGTTAGCTATAGGCCACACCAATTTAATTTCTTGGTTATCGGATTTCCCTAGAAAAATAATGGAGCGGGCGGGCGAAAAAAAATAAAAATAAAAACAGGCCTAGCCATCCCATCATGGCCCAAATGGTATGATAGGAGCCATGAAGTCAACACACCAGGCTGGTTCAAAATTTAAACAATGAATTTTGAACTTTTAAATTTAATGATACCATTGCATATAAGCATTTTGCAGTTGATTCTGATTTTTTTTTTTTGCAAATCAGAAAAAAATTAAGCGGGCGAATCCGTTAACCAAGAAATTAAATTGGTGTGGCCTTAGAGAATGTATGTAATGTATATACATGTGTATGCAAATGACATAAACCAAGACGACAGCAATGTCTTCCCTTACCTAGAGTCTGCAACCCTTGCAGTCTGGTCTTACAGGCTTCGTTTTCCTGCCGAAGTCTTTCGTTTTCTTGACGGAGCTTCTCGACTTCTTGAGATGTCCGGATACCGTCGCTTCCTCCTTGACCTGTGACGTTGACTGTCTCATCCTTGTCGCCGTCCATCTTTTCTACACCACTGCAGTGGCACTAGGAGACCGGCGGTCTCACGGCACATAAGACGGGTCTGTGAGAAGAGAAAGACATACGTATGTAAGAAACAGGAGGAGCCAGTAGAAACAGATTTTAAAAAACCTGGTTCCGGGCCGGGGTTCGAACCCACGAACTTCCGGGCACCAGTCCGACGCTCTAACCACTCGGCCGGGTCAGTTGGTAGCGCCTATACCCCCCCTCCCCACTGTTACAGTACTCCCCCTTTTCTTTTCAAGATTCGTCCTTGTGGTCCCGGGTTCTGGTTCGAACCCACGACCAAACCCGGGCACCAGTCCGCATGCCGACGCTCTAACCACTCGGCCGAAAAGGTCTAGACCCCTCGGCCGGGTCAGTTGGTAGCACCTATAACCCCCCCCCACTGTTACACGTAAACCTGAAGTCTAACCAGAATGGCTATAGACTGTGTGCGTTATGAGTATGTACTTTCGCCTCTTTAAATACTCTAGAAGAATTCTGTTCTTTTCTATTCATTCAATAAATAAATCAATCAATCAAAACTGTTTTGTTAGTTAAAAGGCGTAGCAGACAAAGGTGCCTTCTATACATAAAGTATATAAAAGTATATTGCATTTAGTACATTTAAAAGTGTATGTTAGGCGGCAAAACCGTCTCTCCCCGTAGCCTCCATAACATGCCAAAAACTGGGGGTTTGGGGGGTCTTCATGGTCTTTGGGAGCTTTTATGTGCTATGTTCTGATTGCATATAGACAACCTAGCCGGCCTGGTTGAACTGGGCTAATCAGAAAACAGCCGAAGACCACCAAACCCCCAGTTCTATAAGCCTGCTACGGAGGCTACTCTCCCCGGCAAACTCCCTCGGTGTAAGTGTCTCCCTGGCAAAATCGTCCCTCCGCGGCATAACTCGCTTCGCTCCCCGAAAAAAAAACTTAACGCCGCCACCCCAGAAGGCTGCGAAGGAGGCTAGCTCATATGAGCAAACTTCGAATTCACCCTACTTATTTTGCAGTGTTCAGGAGTCGCAACAGCGGCAAAAAATATTCTGAATGAGGAACCCTTGAAGTGGTCGAAATAGCCCCAAAACAAGCTACGTGGAGCGTCCTCTCTATTTTTGGTACCACCCATAAATAGCTAGAACCAGCCTAGCCTACATACAAAACAAGGAAACGTTTTCCGTCAGCGACATCAGCCTTCTCAAAAAAAATTTGAGTAGGTGGCTGATAAGAAAAAGTGCAGGCGAGCCACGAAGTGGCTCGAAGCGAGCCGCGCAGCGGCTCGCGGGGGGAGGGTACGGGAGGGGGGTGGCCCCCCTCCCGTTGGGGGGGTCCGGGGGGCCCTCCCCCGGAGGAAATTGTAAAAATTAGACCCCTAAACATCGTTTTTGGTACATTCTGAGCAGCTTTTATGGCAATCTTATGGTTCCAAAATTTACGGTTCGTGCACAAATAATTCCGGAAAAAGGCTGTATTAAAAAATTGTTTGCCACTCCGATCGTATTACGCGCGGTCCTTGCGCCCGGCTACAAAATGCAGGAAAATAAAAAAAAGCATATTTAAATGTCAATTTGATCGAAAACATAATCATTGGGATCTGAAAAAATGTCACAGGTTCGCTTTTTGGAAGTTTTGTTTCTGTTTTGACGGTTTAATTCTAGCGGGGTGCGCTCCATAAATGCCCGATAGAAATTCACCCCGCGTCCCGGTACACTGACTTCCGGGTTCCTTGAACAGGAATATTACGAGAAAAAGGCCAAAAATCGGCGTAGAGAAATATATATCTTCCCGAAAATTCTTTTAATTATGCATTTCTTTAATAGGATGTTGCTAAGTAGTCGTAGAAAAAACGTAGAAAGCAGCGTAAATGTGTCTCTCTTCTGCATCGACGAAGAAAAATTCTTCCCGCGCTGCCTGCTGCTGGCTATATCGCTTATCCAATCAGAACGCAGGTCATGTGAGGTGAACCTCGATCTCACCAATCAGAGCGTCGATCGCGCTGTGCTACTTACTTATTCATGACAAGATGGCGCCCGAAAGCTCCTGTTTTTGTACAGCGATGGGGAGTGTGCGTTTTTTATTCCGGGGTTTTCTTAGTTTTGACGCTGATTTTTGGCTCGCCGTGATTACGCTACAAATGACACACTAGTGGAGACAACAGATGAGTGATCATTTTACGATCGACAAGAACTTTTGATGAATGAAACAGCTGTGAAATCTCGCTGATGGCGATTTGTTTTCGAAAATTTGTCTCGTGTTTCTAACTGTGTATGAAAGATACGAACACGCTTCTGTACATGTCTTGATATTTTTTTGACGTGATTCGTACTAGTTATTTGTAGCAGGAATACTACTAGTGCCGGGAGAAGTTGGGAAGGTAGCGGCTTGATAAATTTTCGTGAGCAACTAGTTTACGAAGCAAGTTCCGCCTAGCTCGAGCGATACAGCTCCGCCGATTCAACTCGAGCCCCGAACAAGACCCTCCCCCCGTAAAGTTTCGGCCGCTCTGGCCGCGGAGAAGCAAACGATGACTCGTGCACTAGAAATCTGCACAGGAGGCTAAGAAAGAAGCAGTTTTCAGATCCAGAAAGCTAGCAGAAAATTGTCTGAAGTTCGTCAGAAGAAATGAGCCGGTGGAGTTTGTGAGAAAATGTAATGGAGACTACATTGTTTTTCTGAAAATTTACACGAAAGTAGCCGGCGCAAAAATTTGAGTAGGCGGCGATTTTCGCCGGTAGCCGGCTTGTTTTGAGAAGGCTGGACATCATATTTCTGCCTTACAGATATCAGTATGCTACAGGATAGGGTTGATTCAGCTTACAAGTTACTACATTAAAAGAATGGCCAGAAAATTAACTTTGAAAATCCAGTTTTGCTGCCCTGAAATTGCCGTAGAATGTCCAGATTGTGCATGATGTACAGAATGACTAATAAACTGGTGGACGTACCAACCACTAAGTATCTGATACCAGCTCAGAAAAGAACGAAAAACAGTCATGCTTCAAATATCAGACTTATCAACCAAGAATTGAGGTGTTCAAAAACTCATATTTCCCCAGAACTATCGTAGACTGGAACTCGTTGCCACCAAGCACAGTTGGGGCATCATCACTAGAAAGCTTTAAACAACTCCTGCAATTAAATGTGCAAAGATTGAGTGTAGCAAGTCGTTCAGTGTGATATAGCTATCTGCCGCCGCGCCGCGTGCCTGCGAAGCTGGTGTGTTACGCCGAAGGGCGGTTATACCGGCTACACTGATACACATACATATACAGAACATGATCAAAAAGATCGTCCTACCGTACCTTGCCCTCTGTCTGAGGGCTGTTACGGAAAAGAGGAAACAGAACCAAATAAACAACTTTTCTTACAGGCTAATCACTAAAATATGGCTAATATAAGTCTAATAAACTCAGTAAGAACATTAAACAAGAGAAGTCACTTACGGTGAAGCTTTGAAAACTGAGAAAAACCGAGCTAGACGCCAAGTAATTTTCACGGTAGGACTGTGCATGTGGCACTGATCCATATACATGTGTGTGTTACAGTAACTCTTTATAAACTATAGCAGCGTTACCAAAAAGACGTCCAGTTTCCCAAATAACTGACGAACACAGAAACGCAAAGGGGGAATCACATAGCGGAAACTTACGTGGAAAACTGCATGCATGGGTTGTGCTCGGTCGAGGGACCAGAAGCTATGAGGAAATGACCTCGAGTGAACCCGGAAGTGTGTGTGTGTTCCGCGGCAAGTCTTGATAAATAAACGAGCGTATTCACACGTAGGTAAACAGAAACATTGAACTGTATTTCAACAAGGCACAAGTAGGTGAAGACAGTATAGCCTAAATTTGTAAACTTGACATGGCTTAGATGTATACAGTCTACCCTGGAAGCCAGAACTCGTTTTCCGGGCCGCAAGAGCCCTTCGCCCGCTGGTGTAAATTACCGCTACGGGGGAGTCTAGCCCGGGCGGAGTTTGGCTGGCCCTACAAACCCTCGGGCTCAACTCCCCCGTAGCGGTAATTTAGATAGGCGGGCGAAGGGCTCTTGGCTGCCGAAGGAAAACAGCTAACGGCCCGATACTAGTTGGCATCCAGGGTATATACAGTCATGTACTAGTCATTTATATAGCCTGCTTAGCAGACTCGTGAGGGGGTTTTGTTGCCGAGGGAGTTTTTTTTCTCCACGATATACCTCGCGTCGCTCCCCGAAAAAAATAACGCCGCCGCCCAAAAAGTCTGCGATGGATTCATACACAGGCCTTTTTAGTCTTCGTAATTAATCTCCAAGCAGATCCCTATCGGTGGCAAAAAGACAGTATCAAATTGACCAGGCAGTATCCATTAGCCAGAGAAGGTCGCCAGCCAACGTTGGTGGGGGTAGCGACAAAAAAAGGCCATATATAAAAATGTAATGATCATTCCCCCACAACCTCTGCTCTGCGAAAATTTTGCGTATTATTCGTAATCACTACCACCCCCCCCCCCATGCAGGCCCTCATGTATATTGGATTTGAAGCGCTCGCCTTGATAGCGAAGGGGGGGGGGGATCAAATGGGGTCCTTGCCTAAGTTGACCTAATTCAGGCTTTTCCTAGAAAAAATGCTGGAGAAAATTTTTCATGACACACTGAGGACATGTGACGAATGAGTAGCCGTACTGAGTGGTACGAATAATTCTTTAAATGACAAACACATGGTCGACCCAAATTCGTCATTCAACATAAGCAGCAAAATCTATTACGACCATAATAGATGTGAATTGCTAAGCAGGATTATTTAGCATTTGATGTAACAGTTCAGTTCAATGTTTGAACCATGAAAGTCTGATTTGGCGAGCCCTGCTCCGAAGATTCACGAGGGGGAACGAAGATACCCGAGGAGCCGAACACTGACGACAACGTAAGTTGTAATGACGTCATGGGCGGGTTATCTTCCGTCAAGGATCATCCTGCCAATAACAAAGCACTACTACGTAGTAATGATGCTGTCAATAGTGTAACTTTCCCATTGTTAATAACATGATGATCCTGTCAATAGTAAACATTTTCTGATATTGAC